GTAACCCTAAACCTTGAACCCTTAACCCTAACCCCCCCCTAATTCAAAATGGGTTTTACAGGGCGGGGCTAATTCTGGGTAGATTTAGGCCGATGTATTTCTATAATTAGGGGGGCATTTAATAAATGGGGGAAGGGATTATATTCTATTAAATTCAATTTTCTCTAACTTATAATTATTAAGCTTTTTACTATTTGAATAATTAAAAAAAATCGATTCCTTTTTGAAATATATTTAATTCTAATTATATATTCAAATTATAGAATTTAGTTATTTTAATTCAATCGATTATCTTATTTTATCTATTACTTATATTTATAATCCGAAATAATTGAATTGAAATTGAAAATTTGAAAGATTTCAATGAGATGAATTGAAAAAAATTATCGATTATATCTTCTATCTCGATAGCTTTTTTCTTTCTTCTTAATTCTCCCCCCGCATTCTCCCCCCCCATTATTATGTTCACTAATCTTTGTTTCTTTCGATTCTTATATCTCTTTCTTTTCAATTTCTGATCTCCTTTTCTCTTCTCCTCCCTCTCGTCTTATTTTATCACTCCTATTATCTTCTCTTTCTCTTTCTTCTTCTTTCTTCTATCTGTTATCTCTCTTCTCTCGATCTTTTTCTTCTTTCCCATCTCTATCTAATCTCTTCTTTTTCCTATCGTCTTATATCTAAAAATGGAATGATATAAAACAAAAAAATTGACCAAAATTTATCAAAATATTTATAGAAGCCTTTTCTTGAAATATATAGCTCCATATCATTAATATATGATACTATAACAATTCGTTTCTATCTATTCTCAAATCTCCTCTAGAATAGCACCAGCAATCTATTATCAGAAATTAACCCGATATCTTATAAATATTTTTTCAATTTCTTGAAGCATGCGCTCTCACGGACAAGATTTTCAGATCTCCTACCGACGACTACCGATATAATAGAGAAGATTGAATCAAATTTTGCTGCATCTTTTATAAATAGAAGATTTGACCAAATTTTGCCAAGATATGCGTAGATAAAGCTATAAATAAGATCGGAGCAAATCTTATAATCGAAAATATAATAATAGAGAAGATCGGACCAAATTTTATCAGAAATTCGTTGATAAAAGTTGGTTTAATTTTCTTTATTTTCAGATATTAGTTCTTCATTATTGGCTAGAATTCATAGCGGAAAAGATTCGATCAAATTTATTCGGTTAATTAATTTCATAATTTTCTTGATATTACCGATAAGAAATGATAGTAGAGAAGATTAAATCAAATCTTTGCAAGTGAATAAAAATAATAAAGATATTATCATAAAAATAAAATAATTTTATATATATATATAAATTATATAAAATCTTATCAGATTTTTTTTATGAATAATTCATTTATAAAATTAAATATAATTATTATTATTATTATTTTCTAATATTAGTAAGTCAAAGTTCCGAATTATAGAAAAAATAAATAATGAAATAATATTTCAAAAATTATAAAATAAAATGCCGATAATATCAAATATATAGAAATTCAAAATAAACTATATTTCAAAATATATTTCAAATTTATCAGATTTATCTCTCTATAATATATGATTTATATATATCATATTTACTCATAATATAATTTCGAATTATATAAATGGTATAGAAAAATAAGAACGAAAAAAGATTTCAACATATATAAAATGCACGATATAATTATTCTAATAAATTCTTAATATCATTAAGTGCCATTAAAAGACCCCATAGATATGTATAACCCAGCTTTGAGTAGATCACATATTCATAACATACGCAACCCCCACAGAACACACTCAACTCGGACAACGCCCACAACACACACACACACACAACACACACACACGCACACCACACACACACACACACAACAAACACCGCGCACACCCGCACACACCAACCACAGCACACACTTACAACACAACACACACACACAGAGAGAACACACTTACAACACGCACAACACACACAACGCACACAACACACAACACACAACACACACAACACACGCAACACACGCACACACATAAACAACACACACGCAGACACACACACACACACGCGCACATATTCCTTTCACTCAGTTGGTACACGAGAAAAAAATGTCATGTGGGGTTATCCGGTCCTTTAACTATTATAGTATATTGCTAGTCGTAACCGTAAAAATCCTCGTAACCGTAGTCTTAGTAGTATACATAAACCAAAAAATAATAGCAATAATAGTAGTAATATTAGTAACTAAAGTAACAATAGTAATACTAGTAGTAATTTAAAAACTTGAAAAATTGAAAATATACATATCAAGAATTGTTGAGAAAAAAACATCTTGAACGGACCAGCGCAGAATTTTCGTGTATATATATATATATATTATATTATATTATATTATATTATATTATATTATATCATATTATATTATATTATACCCATGGTCATTTTCTATAGCTTTCATGGTACAGACCTTTAGACCAATATCTATTCAGGAAAAAAGTACGTCTAATGCGTTCCTTATATACTTTCCCGATCCCTAACTAAATTATTGAAATATATTTTAAAATTCAGGAATTGAATTATAGTGCCGTGTCGCCGGCACAGGGCCCCCACCCACCCCCATGAAAACCCCCTACCTGAAATCTTCGTGAGGAAGCTCATTTTTATCTCAATGTGCAATTAATCACAAGGATAAGCCCCCGAACCCGGGATCCTCGTGAGTGTTAGAGTTTTTGTAACTATACAACTTCATCGCGTGTCCAAAATAGCGACACTCACATGGATGGGTCATGGTTTTGGTCTGCGCCGCGCGCAGCTGCTGACCCTCAACCCTGAACCCTTTCACATCTATACACCTAAACCCTAAACAACCCCCACCCACAATACAGGCGGGCGTGCGGGTGCAAACCCTAAACCCGAAACCCAACACCCACCACCACAGCACAGGGAGGGGGAAGGGCGTTGCCTGAAACCCACAACCCACCACAACACCACAAAGGGGGGGGAGAGGGGGGGGTAAATAACCCCCAAACCCACCACCTTTCCACAAATGGACGAGGGGGGTTAAACAGCCCACGTAAACCACCAGCCAGGGAGGGAAGCATAATGGGGGAGGGAGATAGTCTGAGGTGGCGGGGGTCCGGCGACGCTGCACCATGCATATATATATATATATGTATATCTTTCTTTCGCCAGGGCTAGGGGCAAGAGGGGCAAGCCCCAGATATATGTATATCTCTCTCTCTCTCTTCTTCTCCGGGGTCCAGGGAGCTTGTCAGGTTCCCCACGCCGATTGGCGTGCCCCTGTTGTGGGGCTTTGTGGGGGTGTCGGTAAAAGACACGGATTTTTTGTTTTTCTCTCTCTCTCTCTCTTGTTTGCTTGCTTGTCTCACGGGAAACCCACCGTGGTGAGACGCCCTCCGCTTGATCTCGCGCGAGCGGTTCGTGGTCTCGGCCCCAGGCACTTGTTGATGGGCGGCCTTTGGCGTGATACATCCCCCGAAAGGATGCGATTTCACGAAAAAGTGAAGTCATAGATACACTGCAGTCGCATCACCCCCGGGTTTAGGAAATTATCCTGTAACATCCCGCCTGTTTCCGAAAACCCCTATAATGCCTATGCTTTGCCTACCTGCCTTGCCTCCCCCCTATCCTGGTGAGCTGCAGCATGCCAAAGGCAATCAGTGCAAACAAGGACATGTTCAGTTCTGGGACTGCCTGACCCTCTCTCTTTTGTTCGCCAGGGCCAGGGTGAAGGGCTAGTCCCCGACTGTTGTGGGTCGACTAGTGAAACAGACGCTCACCACAAAGGCAGGGACTTCCGTTGAAAGATCCCCAAACCGAAGGGAAACAGCGAACCAGAACAAGCGTAAGAATAACAGCATGGCCGGTAAAACAAGTTGACTTTCTCTTTCTTTCTTTCTTGCTGCCCGGCGTAGGGGTCGCGTAACGATGCTCAGGCCTTCGGCCCGCCCAACCCCTCATATATAGTAGTGTCTCTCTCTCTCTCTCTCTTTGCTTTGCTTTGGGCATGGGGCGGGAGCAGCCCTCCCGTCCCGCGCGAGTGCGCTGCCCCATCCATTATTTTCAATGGATGGGCTCGGCTGTACTACAAACACTCTGAGGCCCGGGCCGCACGCAAGCTGGAAACTAGCTGACAGTGGTTTCTGCTGGTCCCCCGAGGTTTGCCAGGTGCACTGCGGAGGTCTGAAAAAGGCTGTGCCCCGCTTTGCTTCGCTCTAGGGTACCCCAGGAGCGGTTGGTCAGCTAGAGCGACTGGTCTCTCTCTCTCTCTCTCTCTGTCTGTCTCTCTCTCTCACGCGTAGGGAGCCGTTCAACCTCATCGGGCTGAAAGCCGACCGTGCCGTTGGCGACAGGTTTTTTGGAGAAGAGTGAAAGGCAGAGTGTACACGCGGCGCACGTAAACAATGTAATGCATGTCGTGCAAAACCGTGTTATGGAAACACCATGTCTCTTGACACCAGGGCGCCCAGTCCGCTCTGGAACTGCATGGACTCGATCCTTGAGAAAAGGCACGGATGCGTAGAACAACCGGGTATATTATCCAAGAGAAGACGGTGTTCTGTTCTCCTGCCAACTTCTCGCTCCGTGCTTCTAGGTGGTGGGGCGGGAAGTTGCTTTGCCTTGCTTCCCCTTTCTAATTTCAAGGTTGCATGCAACCTGAAGGGGCCGAAACTATGCATTCCCTCGGCCTTTCAAGATTCTCCAACATCTCCAGTCGGAACCTATGTGCAACGAGGGCTCTTGGTGCTCTGCCATGTCAGTGTGTCACGGATCTCTTTCAGGTCACCCTCCATCTTGTCTTTGCCAGCACAGCGATCCACTCGCTCGGTCAATACCGCTACATCGTACCTCGCCGAAGGTCAAGCACAAGAAAAAGCAGGGTATACACTGTCATACATTCGCCCATTCTGCCAAGGAGCTTGGTTCCACGATGCAGGATCTCCTCGGCAGCATGCTGCAGTGCATGCTCATGGTCCTGGAGGATCACCTGGAATTCAGAGACGCGGGTGACCACCTCCTGGAGCTTGTGCGTGGCCTCTTTCTGTAATCGCGTGTGCAGAGATTCCAGATTGTCCACATGAAACAAGAGCTTGCCTTTCACATCGTCCACGGACACGACGGTAGCCTTCTCAGGCAGTTCGTCCACCACGGCGTCTATGCGCTCGTTTAGGAGTTCGTCCTTGTGAGACAGCTTGGCAGCCTCGTTCTCAAGGCATTGCTCCAGGTATGCATCCTTCATTCGCAGCTCTTGGGCCAAGGTCTGCACAGTCTTCTCCAGCTTGCCGATAAGAACATGTAGAGGCTGACACATATGTTCCGTGGAGCTCTGAACCTCTGACATCATTACATCCCTGTGAACATAGTGGGCCAGAGCTTTGTTACACGTATCCTCCATGTGTTTTTGGAAGGCTTCTCCTGCCAAGAACTCCTTCTGTTTCTTCACTTCGATACCCAAAACCTTGCGTTCCACAACTTCGGCCTCGAGGGCTTTCGAAAGCTTCGTTGCCTCCTCTCGGAGCTTCTTCTCACGGCTGTTGAGCTGCTCCTGCAAATCTTCAAAAGCTTTCAGGTTTGCTGTGTTCTGCTCCTGGCACCTTTGATCCAGCGTCTGGAGCCAGGCATGGGCTTTGGTCACCTCTGGCTTCAAGGTCTTGAGCTCCCGATCGGTTCTCTCTGCGTATTCGTGCAAAGCCTCCGTAAGCTCCAGCCGTTTTGTCTGCTCTTCTTGCAATTGCTGCTCCAATGCTGAGAGGCGTTTCGTGTGGTCCTGCAGCTTCCGGTAGTGCTCCTCCTGCACTGTGAGCCTGAACTCCGGCCGCGTCACGAAATCCCGGTTCAGGGCGTCTCGGCTTGCCAGGGACATGAGCTGGGCATGCTGCGCCTGCACAGAACGGAACCTCTTGGCCATCTCACCCCATGCATCCTTTAGGCCGACGGAGCTGATCAGGTCCTTCAGGTATTCTGAAGCGGTGTCCTCATCTGCTTTGAAGAGGACTTTCTCCATCTGAGCCTCCGTGCCATCAAGCTGCCACCGGCGAGGTGTGTCATCCATGACATCTTTCTTCTCCGCCAAAGTAGCCATGAATCGCCCCTTGCACAGAAACGGCTCCCCTGTAACTACAGCATCTTTCCTTGGAGCCCGCTAGAGGAATGACTGGTTCTCTGGAAGTTGATTCTGCGGTTGAAGAGGCAAGAACCTGGGGTTTCTCCGAAGCGTGTGATGGCAGCCAGTTTGGACAGGCATGCCGGTAAGTCGGCTAGGGCGTGTTTGCACTCCACGATCAACCGAGTCCTGTGAAACAAAAGAGGTGTGAAAGAATAGCATGCTTGATAACATAGTTCTCATGCCAAAGAAATTTTCGAATTTGACCGCCCGACAGCTACGTAAGGCCAGCACTCGAGGCGCTGGATCTCGGTTTCTAGCCTCGGGCTCGTTGGCGAGTTGGTGATGCTGAGAAGTCTGGTCTGGGATGTGCAAGAGCACAGAAAATGCCTAAACGTCGGCTGAACTCTCTCAAGCCTGAACGGCCTTAGTAGCGCACCCAAATGCCAAAGAAACAGCGAGATTCCTGGCTAAGTGTAGTGACATGAGTCTCGAGAGAATGACGAAACCCCGCCATGGCCTTGTTGAGAGGTCACAGACGCTTCTCCCGACCCCCTGTGCCCACGAGGCCAGGGCTGAGTCCACAGGCGACCTTTCTCCTGTTTCACAGACATGCTGAAAACATCATGGGAACTAGGTGCTGCCACACAGGCAGAAAGAATCCGAAAGTCGACGATGCAGTAGATTCAAGCAATCACCTGCAGGAGCGGCCTCACGTTGGGAAAACACCTCCGTGTCGAGCACCTTCACTTGGCCTGAAAGCGCACAGTGCTTCGGCTCCGGCGCGTGCAAGGTGCAAGAGGAAAAGTGTAGCGGTCCAGTCTACTATCAAGGCGTGCCAAAGTTGCATGCATCTGGAGATCATATGCCGGAATGACCTGCGGCTTTTTTGGCGACTCAGCTGCTGCTCCGACTGGTCTGCCGTGACTTCCTGGATTTGCTTCTCCTTCTCAATTCCGGAGCACACCTTTGATGACTTCCATGGGATTCATGGACATGCTACACGGGTATCGACTGAATCCGGCTGATGCATGCTGCTCTTATTTTCGTTGCACAACGATCTGGGCCCTGTCGCACGCCATCACTTCAAGAACATCAGCACACGCATGAAACCACACTGTTCATGCTGCTGCAACGTTTAGTTAGTCCACTACCCATGACGTACCAAATCGCCCACTGAAGCTGTCCGAGCTGCTGCGTGATGTTCTTGCACTCAATATGGACCAGAAAACAATCCAAATCCTGCTTGTCTTCTGCTTCTTCTACTTCAGCTTCCCTAGATGTAGTCGCTCCGCCGGTCCTTGGCATGAATCGTGATATGCAAAAGCACCCTCGCTAGCAAAGGCGTCGGACTGCGGGTATGCTTCTCTTCAGTCGAAGCTCCCAGCTTGGCCCTGGGCTTCCATCCCTGGGCTTTCAAGCTGCGGAGAAGCTCCTGCCGCCTGCGCTTGCTCGGCTTCATCTGGTGCTGCAGATGCTTGTGCCACATCGCTGGTCGCGTGCATCTTGGTGACTGCCACGTCACTTGCCTTGGAACATTCTTACTTCCTTTGCATGCCCCGCTTGACTAGCTCTGGCAGGCCTTAATCATGGACGAGGATAGCACTGCAGCTGCGGAAGCTGCTGTTGCTATGACAACCACTACTACTACTGCTACTACTACTACTCCTACTACTACTGCTCCTACTACTACTCCTACTACTACTACTACAGCTGCTACTACTACCACTACTACTACTACTACGACGACGACGACGACTACTACTACTACTACTGCGACGACGACTACGACAACGACGACGACTACTACTTCTACGACTACCACTACTATTACTATT